TTGGCAACTAAGTAATTGCCGATTTGTTCAATGAAATAAAAAATTTTTTTTTACTTGGAACGATGTTTAATCTGTAATGTATTTTCCATTTTGTTCGATGACCTTTTGCCATCTCTCTGACAACTTGAAAATTCCACGCTCGTAGAAAGTCTGATATTTTTCGGCCAAAAACTGAGTTAAGTGAGATTTTACAGCGTTATCATCATTAAAAGTTTTACCACGAAGGGAGTTGTCCAGGGATCGAAATAAGTGGTAATCCGATGGCGCGAGATCAGGGCTATATGGTGGGTGTAACAACAATTCCCAACCAATATCCATCAATTTTTGCCGAGTGGACAAAGACGTGTGCGGCCTAGCATTGTCCTGGTGGAAAATGACACCTTTACGGTTGACCAATTCTGGTCGCTTTTCCTTGACCGCTGCATTCACTTTGTCCAGTTGCTAACATTCACGGATAATAAAAAATAACATAATAATATAGTAATAATAATTTTATAATATAATATTTACGGATATCATAAAAATGGAAGTGAGAGACATCTATAACTGAAATCGGCAATTACTTAGTTGCCAATCCAATAATAAAACTGACAAGATCCAGTTTATTTTCATCCATACATTCTTTATTGCAGTAATTGCTCCAATAAGTGTTCTTATAATTTTTATAATTGTAAAGTAAGGAACAGATCATTTGACAGTGTTAGGGTCAGTGTTAAGTTGAGAATGTATTTTTCTCGAATGATATATAGAAAATATTATTGGATAATATTCATAGAAAAGAGTAGTAATTTCATTAAACATTAAGGTTTCTTCTGGAAGTATGCAATAAAGAATGCATTGAGTAGGGCTCTCTGTCTATTGCTATTATAGGTACATTAGAATTCAATAAATTCTCTAATAACCGTTTGGATTATTCTATCTACCGAACATAGTTCGAATAACCGTTTCGAATTTCGATTAATTGTCGAAATCGGCGTTCTACCTATTGGCTGCAAGTGATTCATTGGTGGTCACGTATCTGCAACTTTTGTTACCATCACTAATTGCCGCTGATGGTCGGTCGCTGTTAATTACGATTAAATCTAGCCTCCCATTACCACCAGAATGTTTGTGTAATTGAGTTAATAAATATGGTACCGGAGTCTGGCTACGGTGAACCTAATTGAACCAAGTTCCCTTTCCAGATAAAGAAAAGTATTTCTCGATGGAAACTATCTCTTAAATTATAGTCCTTATTTTCTAGGATGCATGAATTAATTCTAACAAAACCGCACTACAATATAAATCTATCTACAAGCTGCGGAGATCCCTACATTTGAATATTTAGCTGCTCTCGAAATAAGGACACTTGAATTAAATATTCCATATATTTTAACAGTATAAAACACATATTAATCACAAAACTCAACAAAAAAATTTACCTTACATATTCAAAATTTGTTCTTTCCGCTTCAATATAACCTCGAAGCCCATTTCGAAAATTATTAATTATTATCGCACACACTGTTATTGTAACTTCGTTCCACGCATTTTGTAAAACCAGTTTTAACTCATTCGTCGTTTTAAATGTTCAATGAGAGATCTTCTACTTTCAATAATAATAATTATTTCAATTATTATTTTACCGCCCGCTGTACCTTCCTCTTTCCGTATTGTACAATTCAATAATAATCGAAACGTACATGAACAGTAATAATAAATTGAAAACAAAGGTAAATAATTCGAAAAACAAAATAAATTTCGACACTAAACAGTAGAATAAATGGATGGAGTTATCTTCGCACCTTGTATCACTAAACAGATTTCTAGAAATTTTTGTAACGTAGATAACCCACATAACCAAGTTCAAATGTGTGTATTAATAATAAATGCGGAATAGTAATGTATACTAAATTAACTACTATCCTTTTTTACCAGCACAGAACTGAATCCCATATCTCATAAGTGACGTTCTCTCTTGGCATCGTTATTCACGTTCTCACTTTTCTATCGATAGATCATTTTACTTCGCACATACGCTTTACATCGCAACACGCGCGGTATACTTTGCATATACACTTCAGCTCTGAACATATTTCCAAAAGAAATATTTACTTTTATCGGCTTACTATGCTCGCGATATTTTCTCTTCTAACCTCCCGAAAACATGCTACTATGATGCATGAAAAGTTCAAGTCGTCCAAAGAAAAAATATTTAATTCAACTTGAAATATTACGGGGTTTTTCCTTCAACGCGATGCACGATTTTTCACCTACTTGCAGCCGTCTGACGAGAAAAAGCTTCGAAGAAAAGTTACAGGGTTTGGAGTGAGCAATAGACATCGGTAACATAAATTTTGAAAACAGTTTGTTTTCATTGCGCGAAGTCGCCGAGACGAATTCAAAACACATATTTCATATTTTCGCGAACATATCATTCGATTTACAGTGCTGTCGAACATTCCGCGTTTCCAGTCAGTAATCTCTTCAGTGTCGAATAATGTTTACGCTGTGTTAATGTCATAGAATAATTTATTCGATGAAAATGTTTTTTCTTGTAAGCAATAATCATGAATTGATTGCAGACGTTTATACAAATACTTAATTTAGAAAAATGAACTAAACTAATAAAGCTTTACCTGTTTTTTAGAGTAGTGGAAATGTGTTGTAAAAAACAAAGTTTTATTCGTTTAGTTCATTTTTCTAAACGATGCATTTGTATAAACCTCCGCAGTCAATTCATGATTATTATTTGTAAGAAAAAACATTTCCATCGAATGAATCATTCTATGACTGTTTTTTTTTTTCATTTCTGTTGGAACAGTTAGGATCTCCGGTTATCGATCACGTGCGATGTAAACGAACCTTAAATCGAGACGAGCCACGGTTCAGTAGATGCTTTCGTAGCGTTCTACAACGTAACAGAATGTTTCTCGTTTCGACACTCATAGCTGAAGGCAACTTCAATTTATCGGCGGAAACAGGTGAACGCGCAAACAATTTTTCTGATAACTGTTAAATTTCCCATGTTCCGAGCTTTTTCGTATTCGCTGGTAACGGCACCGTAAATTCCCAAGTACGAGTTCTACTTACCGGGAGAGCGATTTCTTGCTGAAAATTTGATCGGCGCAATGGTTAAGAGAAGGAAGATTGTGCCGAAGCAAATATCGAGGAGAAAGTCTCGGATCGTAAAGCCGATGAAAATTGCTGCGCTGATCGTATCCGCTATACAGGATCTCCGTGAAACCAAAGGATCAACGACCAAGAAGATCATAGGTTACATAAATTATGCATCCGATGCTGGCGAGAATCGAGTTAAACGACAAGTAAGTGTCCTGGCCATAATTATGAGGGCATTGAGAAAGCTTCGAAATCGATCTTAGACGTGCGTCGCTGGTTATATTTAAAGTCCACGGTTGTTTCCGTCAAACAGAAATTATTTGAAAAATATGTTAAATAACGGATAAACGTTACAGCGAGAAGAATTATGGTACGTCAACTGACATCGTATCACTGCGATTATAAATCTAACATGCATATTCAACGTGTGCAACGTTGCAGTCGTTTCAATGGTTTCTTCTCCATCAGAATGCAATTTTGCATATCATCATGCATTTTGTGCATTTAGTGATTATACTTGCAACTGAAAATGTCATTATGTATCTGAAAATGCAAAAACTTAATATTGAAAGAATTAATAAGAAAAAAAATTCAATTGTCAATATTGTAGAGTAATTAATATTGTACAATTATTTAGGACATAGCATTTTATTAATTATAAAAAATTACTCGATTTCGGTGTGCATTCTCTTCAACTTTGAAATACTTCTTCAATAAGATCGAGTAAATTTATTTTGATTTATTAAAATCTCATAAATTCTGTGTGATGCATAAATTCATTTCAGCTCATTAAAATCATGTAAGTTTTCAACTTTTAATTAATATTAAATATATATAGAGTTATAAATCATGTTGTAGAGAAAGTTCGTAAAAGTTAATGTTAATCGATTACTGTTTAATTATAAAATAATTTATGTCAGAAGATAATAATTTAGTATAGAATATAACCAATGTTGACATTGAAGATAATATTTTTATAATACTACAATAATATTAAACATTTCAACGATTGCCAGTGATCGACAGCCAGTGTGATTTTACAGTTACAAAATGAACCTCATATTCATGGGTTCACGCACTACTAAAATGTATCTTTTTATTTACTCTTTGTGTGTGTGTATTTTGTGTGTGTTTAAATGCAGGGTTTCTTCTATATATTTTTAGAAATAGAATTAATTCAGATTAGCAGATAATATGATTCGGTTGCTTGCATTCTACACGAGAAACTGAAACTTTTCAATTTCAACTGACTCAACTGATTTATACAATTTTCATTTTGCATATAATTCTGCAGTATAATTATTATATATATGCAAAATGAAAATTGTTTGCATTAATTGCTAGATACAGTATCCTTGAAATTTACATAGTTTATATATTTACAACTTTGAAATTTATTAAATGTTTTTAGTGTCTAATAATGATGTACGTACAATGTGAAGTCTGTATAGAATATTCATTGAAATAAAGGAATTTATTTCAGAACTTTAATGACCTTTTTATAATGCGGTTAAATTATTTTTACACGTAACGTAGTATGTAGTACTTACGATAATAATTTTGACAATCACTATTGTTAATTGCAGGTGAAAACAGCTCTACAAAGAGGCGTAGAATATGGTATTTTAAAGAGATACCGGGGCCAATATTTTCTGCCGATGGGTGACGAATTGAATCGCGCGAACCGCATCGCCTTGAGATTTGCTCAATTACCATTACCCCACACGCAAAGTCATAAATCGAGCACAAATTCGTCCCGCAAAATGAGACCTCTCGGAAGTCGTAAGAACAACAAAAAAGTTGCTGAAAGCTCTCAGAAGACGATACGAGTACTGGAAGCCAGACTACCATTATCACCTTCCAGACTTAACTTACTGGACTCTGTCAAAGATATTGCAAAAAATTAGTATCATCATATGTGGTATATGAACGAAATACTTGTTAATATGTGATATCAAATAAATCGAAAATAAGCGTTCTAAGTGAGAACGATTCTCTTAGCTGTCAGAACGCGTACCATTGGTTTTTAAAATTCACATAGGCTTTTAAAAGTTTGCATACCTTGCAGAAAAATTGCAGTGTTCGGACGCAAATCGTGACGTCGCCGGCGTTCCTATCACGTGGCAAGATGAGGAATAGTAAATGCGAGAAGGCTATGAGTCGCTAATGCCTCCCACACACTGCTCCTTACCTCGTCACGTGATACGAACGCCGGTGATGTCACGATTTAACCGACAGTATCCAAGATTATTTGCTGTACAAACTGAAATGTATCACGTCGTTACTTCGTACGCAAATTATAGTATGTATATAATGCTGTAGAACGTGTAAACAAGTCTTGGAAAAAGTATTGCTAGAGTAAAAACAAAGTGCATATTCATTTTCGTGTCCCTTTGTTTTCACGTCCGTTCATTAATTGCGATGTCGTTGATTTTATATCTAATGTCCTAAGATTTACGATGTTATTTATTGGTATTCAACTAAATTAAACAAAATGTGAACTAAATAATTTCATAATTCTGAAATAAAAATTTAAAACTTAAACGAAGGATTTTCGATTCCCGAAATCTTATATCGACATTTGAATTGCTAAAATTTCGTAAAAGAGAATGGCGGAATTATAAACCTAAACTCATTTTATAGCTTGTAGCCTGTATATTCACAATCCATCATCCACTTTGTTCTAAAGTGTTGTTACGAGTTGTGCTGGATGGAAATTGAAAGCCATGATATTTCTCGGGAACGTTGCAAATTGAGACATCCTTCACGCTTTGACATCGTCATCAATTATAAGAATTTTATCCAAACAAATTGCAACTGAAAAGCTAAGTTGCATGACATCGATTGCTTTTCTAATATTCCTACATCTTGTGGATTCTAATAAAATTATGGATATAAAATACATCAGCGTAAAAAGTAGTTTGAAAACCCGAGGAAATAATTTTCGATATATCTCTTTTCTAGTCCCTTTTTCTATTCCAATCATTTAATTTTCTTTCTCATTTTTACAAATTCTAGGAAACGTTTCAAGCTAAATTTTCATAGTAAAAGAAAATTTTTTTTCATAATGCCATAGTTTTTTTCCGTATATTTCGTTCAAAACAAGTTCAGTTAAATTAGCTTTAAAAAGATGTTCCGTTTGTTGCGTTTCGATGCATATGACGGATGCTGCCCTGTAGTATGGTTACATTGGATAGGATTAAAAGACATAATTACCATTTAAGAAAAGAGTATAAAATGGACTATGAAAAATATTTTTGTATACTTTAACGCTAGATTTACGTGAAAATGACCGATCACTAATTTCTTAATTTACGATTATTCATATCGTAAAGATACATTTATGAGTTAATTATTCAATTTATATGTTACCTAATGTTACAATAACACTTGTTAAAAATTAGAATAAAAATCTCTTATTGTTACTTTTATAAACTAATATAAAACATAATGTGCACCGTGTAAATCTAGTATTAAGGGTCTCTCTTCATGTTTTTAAAGGTCTAGAACAGTAAAACCTTTAATTATTTTTGTACAAAATTCAGAAGGAACTTTAATATCAACAACGTTTCACAACAATTCCCCCTTAATCCCGCAGCTATTTCATTGATTTCTTAGTACTCCTTCGTCGTTAATAACTTGCTCAATAGAACGAGACAATGTCTGTTTCTTATACCTCTTCATTTAATTTCATCCCTAAATTTTGATAACAGAATCACCAAATTTTGTTGCGATTTAAAAGACGGCGAATAACGTCCGCATTTAGTAGATTACGAGCAAAATCTTCATCGCGATTATAGTCATCAGATTATATCGGTAAAAACATAAGGCTTTTGTTTACATTCGATGAATGCAACTTCTCTTTTAGAAGGAGCTCCTAATCACCAAAAAAACCCGGCCATTTAGATGGTCTCATTACCAGAACGATTTCAATACCCCACTGAGCGACACAGTGGCCGTCGATCCAAGATAGACGAGGATGACGATAAGACGGATGAATCGTTTTCTATTACGATATATCGATCGATCGCGTCCCGGCAAAGGCTGCAGCACACTCGCTCCCCGTTCCCTGTGTGCCGGTAAAATTAAGTGAATTGAAGAACGAGCGCTTTTCGTAGATTGCACGGAAGTCTGCGGCGGCGGAGCGGTCGCACGCCATTTATAAAACTTAGAAGCTTCTTACCCATCCCGATAAACTTAATAGCTTCCGAAATTTACGGGAGCGACCAAGAAAATTTCGAACATCTCCGCTTCCGTGATCGTACCATTTCTTGTCACCCCTACCTTTACATATTTTTTTCAGGACGTACAGCAAATCGTGTTGTAACAATCAAATTCGACATTTTGTATATACAGTAAATTCCCCCCAATTGTCCTTCAGTTTGTACAAAAAAAATGGACAATTTGGAAAGAAGAGATACGATTATTCGAGCCTTACATTTCATTTTTATAGTTAACGTTTGTCAACAATTATAAAAATGAGTCGCAAGGCTCGAATGATCGTACCTTCTCGTCCCAAATCGTCCATTTTTCTTTCCAAGCTGAACGATAATTGGAGAGAATTTACTGTATTTATTTCTATCGAAAGCGGTCGAACAGCCGCTTTTTAAATATTATATTCATTTCCAATTGATTACAAGTAATAGCATAGTTTAGCATAGTCCCTAGCAAACATTTTCTTCAAACTTTTAAAACAAAATATTTTTTACATGTACAACAGACGTTTGTGGTTTTATCTTTTTGCGATATAGAATTTGATGTTTTTCGTTTTTCAGAACTTTCAGTGGAATTTGTTGATGTTCGCTCCATAATTTCTGTTTCTTGTTCTCCTGCGAATACTATTTTTAGTTTTCGTTCACTTGTCTTAAGCCTAAAATTTTATTTGTGACTTAACACACAATTGGAAGTTAATGCACTAATATTATTTGCAATTAAAAGTATTGCATGACAAATATGAAAGAAATTAGGGATGTGCGATTTAGAATTGATCTTCCGAAAAATCGTTCTTCTTGATACGATTTTTGATTTTTTGAATCGATTCTACGATATTCGATTCTGGAACGAATCGATTTTTTCAAGCATGAATAGATCTTCGATTCGTTGATTGATCTCTTTATTCGTGGACGACCCGAATTCGAGTAATGTAGTTCGATTTTGACTTCGCTATTCAACTGTTACCTATTACGCGGGACACATTACGTAATGGTTTGATTCAATAAAGACGCTTCAGATTTACGAATTTTTAAACCGTTTTCCAACGGTATCAATTTGTGTTGAAAGCGTACGTTCTAAAGATGGGCACAATTCTGTATCGATTTCCAACAAAATCGATTTTTTCGAAGCGATTTTCGATATTTTCTAATCAATTCTTAAATATTCAATTTTGATACAAATCGATATTTTTAATTATAAATCGATCTTCGACTGAAAGTCGCCATAATGCGATTAACTATTCCCATTTACAACATTTAGTCTTCCTAAATTCATTGCCTTTAAATGATTGGTTAATAAATAAAAATCAAGTTTTTCAATAAAAAAGTAACTCAATTTAAATGTCTAATATCTGTATCACTATCGAAATACCAATTAGAGTATTTTATGATGAGACACTGCATATAAAAACTTTTAAATTACATTGGTATGTATATTTATTCATTTAGGACGTGACAAAAATGAAGAATTAGTAATAACTGAAGTGTACAGTAATCTTGTAAATCGCTTTTTAAAGTGCCGTAAGAATTAAAGTATTGTATTTTAGGTCTGATTTCTTTTAAATCGATTTTCAGAGGATCGAATTTTTACGGTTTAATTTTCTAGTGAATCAATCTTTGACATTGCGATTCAGAAACGATTCAAGAATAGATCTTTTTCAAAGAATCGCCCATCCCTAAATGA